CCCAAACCTCCGTCGTCTCCGGTCCAAACCAAAAATTGGTTTTCAAATTCTAGAAGTAGCCCATTTGTCCATTTTTAAGTCTTCACATATCCATCAAATGCATCGGTTTTGTACCAGCTTTTGGAGCTTCAAATTCAATAGGTAAGGGCACAAATGGATTTTTTGGCCATCAAAAGTTTTTTGAGTGCTGAATTTGGTTTTTTTTTTTTGGAATGCTGTGTATTAAATTTCATAAAGCAGCAGCTTTACCTAAACCTTGTCATTTTATTATGGGGTATGATTGATGTATCGGCAAGACTTTGCTACACATAGTAAAGCCAAACCCCGAGAGAATCCCTGTGATGGCTTGGAAATCTATTTTCTATTTATCTCCAAAATGTTGTAGATTTGGCATATTTGTGAACACTTGAAAATAGATAGCTCAGATAACTTATTCTATAATGCTTTGTTTTTAGGGTGCAGTTGGCATACAGATGCATTCGTAGCTGCAGAGGTAAGGCGCATCTTCAAATTATATCATAGTATATAATTTTGATATAAAATGTTCTTAGGATTATCTCAAAATCTATATTATATCTAATTATAAAATTTTAAATTTTAAAAATGATTAAAATCAAGTAGATCTATAAACATATGATAATCTTGACATTGAACGGTGTAGATAATATGATGTAAAATGCACTATTTTTTAGACTTAAAATCTTTTTATTTTTCATGGTCATACATTTCAATGTCGAGATGATCAATCAAAGGGTTTTCAACATTAAAACTACCTTATAAGGTTGCATCCGTAGTTCTACATTATAAGGTTGCATCCTTATATCAACTTTTTCCTTGTTTTTAAGGTTTGAAATCTGAATTATTTCCAAACCCACAATTTTCTTTTGAGACTAAGATGGTCAATTTGATTGTTCTTGTAATGTAGAAGTATCAATCTTTGCAAACTATGAGTTGTTGCTTTAAAAGAATAACATATCATCTTAAGCTAACATCTCCTTCATTGTACATATATGGAAATAAATACATGGTAAAATCAAGTTATAATATCATTAAGGTGTTAAATCATCCCATGTAGTATTAGAACTTATGCTTTTTAATTTCATTTCACTCAGGTGCATCCTTAAAAAATGTGGAAAATTTTTGTTTAAATTGCCCCTTTCAAGAATAGGAAGCCTGCTCATAACTCTGTCCAAGTTCTATCAAAAAAATGTTTATCAAAGTCGGATTAGTGACAAACCTTAAAGTTGTATTAGTGATAAGCCGCCATAAGTCGTGGTCAGAGCCCAAGAAGGCCATAAATCCATTGACTCGGTTGACTCGAGTGTGTAATCACTCTATTGACTCACAAGGTAGCCATACTCTTGACTTGATAGCAAGCTTTTTCAGAACTAGTTCACAAAGATCTGATAATGAATCTAGTTCATCAAGGAGGACTGTTAAAAACACTGAAGAAATTGTCATAGCCAATATCGAAAGAGATCTAAATAATTGGAATATACCAAAGATCTCTACTTCTGAAATTTATAGCAAATGAACTTTTGAATTTAAGAGTGACTATGCTATAAAAACTGAAAAAAAAACTAGTATCTATTCTTAATACTGAAACTACTGTTAGCCTATTGATTAAATCCAGGATAGAAGATTTTAGGGAAAAAAAATATAATTATCTCCATATCGGATTTGATCAAATAATAATAAAACCCTTGACAAGATCAGGTCAACTAGATTCCAAAAATGATTAAAATCAAGTAGATCTATAAACATATGAAAATCTTAAAAATTGACAATGTAGATAATATGTTGTAAGATGCATTATTTCTAAAACTCAAATTTTTTTTATTTTTTATAATCATACATCTCGATGTCGAGATGATCAATCACAGGGTTTTTCAACATTAAAATAACATTTTTTATAGATTTTTGAGGTGCATTCGTAGTTTGACATTTGAAGATTGCAACCTAATATAATCTTTTCCATTTTTTTTTAAAGAAGCACGAGAGTGCATTGGAATTTAGAAAACAACACTCTTTTTTAATGTATGATTTTACCATGTCAATGATGGTGTACTCAATGATAATGTTTTCCCTGGTATGAAGCTATGAAAAAAAGTATTGTACCCCATATGGCCATTAATTTTGGGTACAATAGGGTACAATCATCTTATTAATTTTGGGTACAATTGGGGACAATCGTTTTTAGTCGTCATCGGATGTAAAATTCGATAGAATGAATAATGTTAGTTTGAGAAATTTTATTTTGGAATTAGCCGGTAAATGAAGCAACCACTCAATTTCTATATGACTGTGATTTGTGATTTTTATATACCAAAACTCGACATCTTATTATATGTATTTTGACAAAAATCGGTGAAAGAGAGAAGTCAAAAGATATTATACTCCTGAGGGAGTATATTGTCAATATATTCCCTCGAATAAAACCCCTCCTAGAAATAATTTGAGGACCGATTAACCTAAAAATAAATAAAATCTAATTGTACCCTCTATCAATTAAAAAAAAAGTGTGGTTTGCATTGAGCCGAGGCTCTAAACAATCAAAGTGGACTCCGTATTTAAATAGTATCAAGAAATGTGGTTTCAACATTGAAAATCTTTGTGATAGCCTTAAAATATATTTTTATCTCTAATTATAAAACTTAAAGCTTCAAAAATAGTGTAGATATAGGAAAACTTGAAAATCTTAAAACTTGACAATCAAAAAACGCATTATAAGATGCACTATTTCCGAAACTTCCAATTTTTCTCATGTCCATGTATATCTTGATTTCGAGATGATCGATTTGAGGATATTTGAGCATCAAAACAACTTCTTCTAGTGAAATTTTTGAGGTAGGCTCTAATTTGATTGTTTAGAGCCAAGGCTTTATATAAACATTTCCCTTAAAAAACTGCCTTAAGATTAAATATAGACTGTCCAAATTTTAAAATGGTGAGATCCAAGATTCAAAAAATTAGGGCTAAAAATGGGTCGGATCGGGATTTGGATTTGGATTTGGATCCGAAATATATACTGAAAAGTATATATAGGAATTCAGATCCCGAACTAGACCTGATCGGATCCAAAAAATTATT